CTTTGATGGTACGGGCAAGGTAATTATCTGAAAAAATAATATTACAGAAGTACAATTGATGTTTAATTATTACTGATTTGATGTATTAAGATGGAAATCACTACTATAAATACTTTTATTTTATTTTCTGTCTTTTGTATTCTAATTAAGTACAAAGTGGGGATATCCCTTAACACTTTATTTCTTTGAAGTGTGTTTTCAAATTAGTATTATAAAATTACATCCTAATAGCTGAGGCAAATTGCTGCGAATTTTGATTCTCAAAATTTATATACTTCAACAAAGAAACGTTTTGGTTTTTTTTCCAATGAACTGTATGTCAAATACAGAATACATATTTTTGAGTATAATTTTCCTCTCAAAATGTGGATGAGACTAAACAGACATAATTTTCTATCGGCTTCAGATCTTGACCAAAAGTTTGGCACCCACTTCATAGGAGTGCTTATATTGATTATCTGACATCTTGTTTTCTGTTAAGATTTTATTGGTAGGTTTGCAAATCTGTATCAGACTGTGCAACAACTCTCTCCATGAGTTTGCATTGAAATCTAATCTAGCATATATATACATTACCAAGGGTATTATTACAAGATAAATGATTTGCTTCATTGAACACATACAGCAATGCACATTCACACTGGGATCAGTGACCTTTGAATGTGTATCACCAGTGATCAGTCAAGTAGAAAATATTTTATCAGATTTTCGCAATTTTTGCGTGATATTTTCATACAGGACATCTGTTCTTCATACCCAGGGAAGACTTTATACTGATGAATAAGGTGACCAAGTTTGATAAAGTTTGGAATAGAATTAGTAAAGTTATTGTGCACACAATAACATTATTAACGACGATGACGACAACGACGACGACGACAACGCCGGACAGAAATTTTTCCCTTAATATACCTTTCCCTTCCATCTTTGATGTTACGGGCAAGGTAATAAAATAACATGATTGGCATAAATAATGTGTATGTGGTAATAGACGGTACAGACATACGGAATGAAATGTCTACCTTCATATCCCATTTGTTTGGAACGTTCTTTTTCCCTATCAATGTATGCTCCTCTAACCAGTTTTACACCAAACGTAAACCCCAACTTTTCAGACATTCCAATATCTCTGCTGATGTTGGTATGCGCTGCCTATTGAAGTCAAACCAGTATGTGCATTATTTGAAAATATTTGAAAAAGAAACTTGACATAACATGATAGTTTGCAGTCCTGCTTTAGGACATTTGAGCGGATGAATGCAGACAAAAGTAAGTTCTAGAGAGGAAAATAAATGATGACCATGCAGTTTGACCATGCAGTAAGTTGGTGGACATTTGCGAATTTATATCGATTTATATTAAGGCAAAATATTCTGGTATGACACTTTAAAACTAACTGCAGTACCTGGCTGAATTGATAGCCATGTGATGAGAAACAATCTAGCGTGACACTTTTACTGTGTAGTCAAATGTTGCTTCCTTGTTAGCTTGACAGCCAGATGATGTTGGTTAGTTAGCCAAAGAGAATAACTTTAGACATTCCAGAACTAACTTTTTCTGAGTAGTCAAATCGTTATGTCTGGTTAGTTGGTTGGATAGCTAACAAGGTATGACACTTCAAAACGTAACAAATCCATCTAGGTTGGCTAGATAACTAGGTGCCAAACGTTAAATGGCTGACAAACAGAGGCATTCCTTGATAGGGTAGAAATACAGTAGCGTATAAGTGAGCAGTCAAAGAGGAATAAAACTACTTCTGATCCAAAATGGAAGTTTTAGTGTGCACCTTACACAGCAAATAAGAAAAATATACATAATAGACATAAAATTTGTCCAATCCTTGAGATAATTTTGATATGTGTTCCATATGAATGGCTCAGTCTTGTTGTATTTGTACATCAAAGCTAGAGTTATCAGTGTCATGGCTGGATTGAGGTATGTATATTCCGCATCTACTAGAATCTTTGTATTGTTAGATACAGCATGCTGTCAAAAAATAAGACATCATGATGGTTATTGCAATCATACTAAATTGTGTTTTCATCAAATTTATATGATGGTGCAGGCATTTTGGTAAACATGTAAGGCAGGAAAATTTGGATTCAGAAATGAGAAATGTTGAAAGAAGTATTTCAAGTAATGCAAAGCCCCCCCCCCCCACGGCTGTCAACACAATATCTGGTCTACCACCCCTTATCAAAACAAATCACACTTGTCATAGTTTACATAGTAAAGACGAAGTTGTCAGTAAAATTCTTGTATAGGGAACAAGCAAATGTTATCCATTCTCTAGAAACCTACAATGGCCAATTTTGCACATATTTGATAGGGAATAGGGATTGTTTAATCCAGGAGTCCTACTGTGAGTTGTCACTTGTCGGCACGTTAAACTAATCAACAAGGATGCAGATTTTGAACAAGATATGTAAAGATAGTTATAAAAAAGGCAAGGGCTTCCACCATTATATCTCTATATGTATTTTATATTTGATATGATGCAAATGCTACCAGTATGACACATTGAATACCTAGTGTAACCCACGATTTCAACACAATGTCCATCGGTGTATTAGTATCATAGTAATGAAATCTAAACTGATAAAACCGGAAATACATAATAAAACAATAAAAGTCGACTTACTCGTGCCAGTCTGTCTAAACGATATAAGGTGTTATTGAGATGTTTAAATTCGGAATCAGTCAGTTCAGAAATTCTCTCTATCTATGAATGAAAGACAGCACAACTTAAATACTTCAATATACTTCAACGTACATAATAAAGTTGGCGGTTAAACATCAACCTTTCGACTGTGTTTGCAGTGAACTGGACAATAATGTGGCAATAAAAAAATTACTAGACTAGTTAGTCAAACAAAATGAACTTATGTGTGAAATAAATTGGTACCTTATCATTGACTTGATTTAGTCCTTTAGCAAAATTCTGAATACTTATTGGTCCTCCGTCAGCATAGGTATATCCATTCTTCACAATTAACTCACCAATTTTTACCTGATGAATAGATTTCAATATCAATATTAATGATGGTATATCTTATAACAACATTGCATTAACAGTCCATCACATAACCTAGGGTTTGAATAAACTCCACAGAGACAAAAAAACACATCATTAACATGACCATATTTATTATAAGAAAAATATTTACGCAGAAATTACTGAAAAATAATCAGGATAGCTCCCAGTCCGGTATATATAGAGGATATCTAATGATACTAAATGTATCAAACAAGTGTAGTAGCTTTTAATCGACGAACAATTACGTTCAAAGTTTATACAAAGTTTGATGAAATCTGTCTTCGAACGAACAAGAATCGGTTCTGGCACGGCAGAAAAACTTGACGTTGATGCATTTCAACATTAAATCATGAAATATATCATCAAATAAATACCCCGGTACATGCGCATCGTGACAAGAATTACATATGTAGTTTGGATTTGTGTGTACCACGAAATTCACTCATACAGGACCGAGATTCGATCCCAGCGGAGACTACAAAGCCAATCTATTGTGTTCAGAAAGAATGTATTTAATTCAAACATACCAACACTTCAGGCTGCACCAATGGGCTGACTCGTACTTGCATTACAATTGGTTTAGAGTTATCACATATTTGTAATGATTGGTCTACACAATTTTCCATCACTTTGATATTCTCCGCACATCTACTATCCCTGTATTCGTCGCTGATAATAGAAATAAATACTATTATATTCAGCAAAATACCAGCTCAAATGTGGTAGACATTCATAATTAGTACATTTATCCAATCAACAATCACAATTGTAGACTCTGGCATTTAAAAAAACAATTAAAATATTATTAATTGGAGAAATCTCAAATAAAATATACTACTTTGTTTTTTTCATTTAAAACTTATTAACAATTCTCTCCAATTTATATTTTCAAATACTTCATTGAGGATTTTATTTAATTTTTATTATTTTTAAATCTAAATTGCTATCATATAAATCAATTATATATATTGATTATATAAATCAATAGTAATAATTTAGAACAATGCTTCATGGGATATAAAGTGTGGGATTATAATTCTAAGCCATTCTCTGATTGGTCTGACTGGTAGATGCTAGGATTAGGTAGCCAATCAGGTGCAATCTTGTAGTTGCTTCGCATTGACTCCATGTATATACGAGATCCACATAGAAAATCAGAGTGCAATGCTATAATTTGAGTTATAATATAAGTTTATTAATCTTATTCTATTTCTACGTAACGCTTAAGATGGGAAAATTAAAAACATTGAAAACCCACGGTTAAAGTGAAGACTAAAAATAATTGCACTAAACTGTTAAATTAAATGTTCAATTCAAAGATTAAAAGTTCAAACGGGTACCTTACCTGGCCCCGGGTCCTCCCAAATCATCTTCTAGTGGAATAGCTATTTCCGGCGCAATGCCAGCCAGCTTGAGTCTCTCAACACACATTGCCATTGTTGGGACATCATGTCCCGCTACAAATTGTCCATAAAAAGTAGATTTTAATAAGCGAAAGGTTATGTATTCACCAAGGATCTTCTGCGATGTTGTCATCAACTGGAATTAAAATAAATACAAATTTATTTTGCAAAATCACATGAAAAGAATCATCAAGGCAAGAGGTTTGGTTGAAGGTAAAAGTGTGTTTGAACTTGGATTGCATGAGCAAGATAAAAAAGAACAAGTTAAATATTTATTCATATAATAAATGTAGTATATTCATAATTTTTGTATTATATCATAATTTGCGACGCTCTATTTCAAGTAAATTTGAGCACGAGGCTGCATGGCTGATAATATAGACGTTATATGGAAAAAGGGACCGAAGCATGCGCACTGCGTACACAATATGCTAATGACCTTTAACGAGGCATATAGGTAGACATATCTCATGAATGTTATGTAAAAATGCAATTTATTATGAAACGACTGAGTCACATATATTCGGTCTTGACTCCCACTCTGTCTATTGTGGTTATTTGAAGACTGTAAAGTTAACGTTTTGTATCATACTAAACTGGTCACCAAATGTAACAACTGTTCCTGGCTTTACATGCAATTCTGAATGAGCGTAGAAAATCGGAACAAGCCTCAATAGGTTTTGATTGTATACAGCACCACCAGTGGCTGTTCATGCGTCTAGTACAAGTACTAAAACGAATTAGTAATGCCAAATATGTTAATATATTGCGCATTGTTTAAAGAAATTTCGCCGTGAGGATCCTGCGTGTTATGGCAGCATTGCGTTCGACACAACCCGTCCTTTGTTCCCATTCGCCGGGGTTGTCGCCTGTTTCGTTATTATTAAAATCGGCGTAAATGCAAAGAATCACAACTAATAAATGTAATTTTTACTTATTTTGCTTCGTTTATGTGCGGAAATAGTGTATGGTCGCAATATCACCGCTGGTGTGTTGAAATATAATATAATTATTATTGATTTTGTGACAGGCCTCGCCCATCTGTGTGTATGTTTATGGAGATAGTTTTATCCCTGGAATTTGAATACGAAAACTAGAACGCACACTACATGCCGGGTAAATTAGAATGGCAGATCATACAATTAAAACACTTATTCGGGATAGTATGTTTTTATGATTACGCGCGCCAAATATGCTAATTTCCCCAGAGAGTTTTATATCTGCTACCAAATACCCTCGCTTGTCGTCTAAGCCGTTGAATATGTACGTTATACTGTTACAATAACAAAACAAATTAAATATCTATACCAATGAAAATAACAAACTACCATCTTTGTTCCTGTTCCTTTGTTTTGTATCTAAATTATCCCAAATTCCAGAGTACCACTATGGTCTGGGAATAGGGGTCTTCACTAGTTTAAAAGACTACATGTGGAGAAATTGTGAGGTTGATAACCAATAAATAATTCTCTGAACAATAGAAAATAATTATAATTTCCCATGGCTGTATCAACTGATAGTTTCCATGGTAACGCGGAACTGTCCAATCGATCATGTATGTACATAATTCATGAGCACCAATTCCAGATTTTAGTGAAGAGCGGATATGTTCTTTCCAAGGTTACTCCATGGGACCCTTTAGGCCCCACCTTTTAAATGAACCCTAACACTCCAGCCTCCCCAATTGTAAACCAATAAGCCCTTCAAATATCTTTACTTAAAGCGGGAGGGTCGTCCTCGGGAATTGAGTCCCAAGCGATGATAACAACACAAAGGCTCATGGGAAGACGCTTCTTGGTAAACAATGACACGCTATGGCCAACTGACGCAAGCGCAGGTAACGACTCCCTCGCTTTAATCCGAAGAGGGATGTAAATAATTGAAATGTCGAGGCTAGAATTATAATTTTGGCATCGCAAAAAAACCTAGAAAGTCGACAAAAACAGAACATTTCCTCGCATCACATCATCAAACCAATTGACAATATATTGATTACACTCTCAACAAAACCAAAACAGTGACAAAAACCATTAGTTTCATGTCGAACGAGCACAATATGACGCCACTGTAGAAGGTATTCCCGACAACGTGTGGATACTCCCGTAAAGCGAACTACTCATGCAGATGGGGGAAACCATGGCTCTTCTGTGTCAGAAATGACTAAAATATCAGCACAAAGACTAAAGATCGACCGACTAAATAAGAGCTATGAATCCGCAGCTAGCTAAATCATAATCTGTTGCCAAGCAGTGTGATAAATATATTCTTCAATATAGTAAGGGCACATTTGTTGGTAATTTATTCAAAGTAGTAGAGTATTGTTTTATTAATAACGCATATGTTGTAAATAACAGAGCTTTGTATCGAGTGGAAAAAGAGGTTTTCACATCATAAGTGATTAGCAATTTTGGAAAGAATTTCTTACGGCTCCTACCCCAAACCTAAATCCTAGCCCTAACACTGTAGTTCCACAATGTAATTGTATGTGCCCCTCTGGGTAACCATTGAATATTGGCATATACAATCAAACTTGAGAAGGGGAAGGGTTGAGATTGAGTTATGGTTGAGGAGTTTTAATCACAGTCCCTCCATCCCTCTATAGAGGGACTGTGGTGCAATTTTTATTTTTTAGGAATAATTAGTTTCAATTATTTAACAATTTCCCCCGTGTCATGTGAAAGCATAATTATTTCTTGCGAATTTTGTGCACATTTATTTTCCATGAATAGTCAAAAAAATAAACATAGACTATATATGAACGAGATTTTATATTGTAGATGCGCTTCTATGGTACATATTTAGCAAAATTGAGTATCCTGAGTATTTAAGGTCTTGTACACTGGGTATGAGAGGACAACAACATGCATTTCTTTTCATTGGAAATCATTTTAACAAAATATGCATGGAAGTACATGGAGTAAATGCCAAAGCGTTTTTTTTTTCTATATACAATGCATACATTTCAATATATGATACATACTTAATAATATAAGATTATTACGATGATACCTCAAAGTATGCACGAAGACAGTACAACTGGAGTATCGACCAATGGGGCGTATTATCTGAGTGCCTACTTTGAGTTATCCTCGTAATAACCTTATTACTATAATGTAACATCTTTTCCCTCCAAGGAAACACCATTGGGAATGTGAAATCCAAAATGTTTAGAGCAGAATCAGCCAACTTCTTTGTGTGGAGTCCGGTCGAACTCTGGTGGCAGCCATGTTTGTTTGAGGACGCTTACGCGCGTAATCATGCCATATTCGGAATTCCCATTTCCTAATATGGTAGGATGAAAATACCCCGTAAAATACCGCAAAATTACGGCACGTTGTAACTTATGGCGTTAAGGTGACAGATGTATAATAATATACAATATTTGCGAATATACAAAGCATATTTTTCAATATATACAATGAATTTATAATTCACACATTTCGATATACTTATATATACTTGTCAATATACGATGCATATTTTTCAATATAGGAAACGTTTGTTAAATGAAAGAAGCGTACTTTTTCCAGGGTTTTAGCCAACCACCTGTCTATCTGTCAATTTAGACAGGTACATAATTGTATTTGACAGGCGCATCTGTCCAGTTTTTATTAAAAATTACCGGTAAATTATATAACCATAAATAATCAATACATAATCATAGCTACATATTAGTAATTGCTATTTTTTCATTTCAATAAGGTTTTTAGACAGGCATTTTTATATTTTCTTGCTATAAAAATTAGTATTATTCTGAGTACGCATAGTTGATGCAATTAGCATCCTTCACGTTTATTGTTCCATTCACGCGTGATCACGAACATCTCGCTTTTGTCGGACAATGTACACATACATTCCTATGTATTTCACTTTATTGTATTTTATATCAAGATCTCAAATGAGATACGATAGCAATAAAGATTTACTTACTTACATTCCTATTACAACATTTCAAAATTAAAGTTACATTCAAATAATATTTAAAAATATCAACTTCAGACTAAGCAGTTTTCATAATTGACCATTGCGGTGGGCCGAGTTGACACGATTGTTTGCTTATACAGTAGAGCGCCGAATTTTCGATTGATAAGTAATTACGCTCGTTTGTTCAGCGTGTTATTTTCTCATTCTGCTGCCTTGGAGGATATCCTGGAAAGGTATGCTTTATGCTTTTATATTTGTCAAGTTCAACGACTAGCGAATTGACTAGACAGTAGTGGCTTCGTTTGCCCTATGTTGATTTTATGCGGTTAGGAATTTCAAATATCGGCGACTCTAGGTTGATCTGGTGTTGGTTGGTGTTATTTTAATAACGGGTTCGTGTCTAGCCAAATAAAATATGTAGAAAATTACTGACTTGGCAGGAGCACCACTGAGAGACTCATCGATGCATTCGTTACGTCACATTGGATTGTTGCAATAGTTAGTTCTTCATCTTGGCCAAATACCAATGATACAGAACGTCTGATTGGCTGTACACGCAACAAATTTGACCACTCGACCTTATGGATTTATGGACACTGGCTTCCAGTTGAAGCTCGTATTTATTAATTTCGGAATTTTGTTATTCACATTCAAAATCATCAATCTACCATATATGACCTTTCTGGTAGACTTGTATGACCTGGGACGAGATCTTGCCCCCTCCTTGTGGAAAATTGAATGAACCTTAAGCTGATGAGAGACAAAATATGTCTGTTTCTCATTTCCGTGCGCATCATTTTGAACTATGCGGCTTGAACATTGTGGGAATCGAATTATGGGATAAAGTAGACGATCGATTAAGTCGAGGAAAGAGACTTTATTCTACGATACACACTACACGAATACTATACAGCTACTGCCTAATAAAGCTTGTGTTGAAAGTATACATACAGTGTGGCCGGAAGTTTGGGCTTACGTAACGTGTTACTGAGTAGCCAATCAACTAACTCAATAATAATTATCTTAAGTACATAACGTATCTTTTTGTGGTTTCCGCAGTTCGATTGTGGTTCCGACAAACGTGTTTCTTCTAAAGCATTCCAAAATGCGCTTGTACTCGCACTTGTCTCAAATTTCCCCCATTTTAGCTCAGTATTCAAAAAAAATCGCCTCGTCGCCTTATTTTAAAATTTTCATGAAACGAGGAACATAGATTTTTCCTGGCCTTAGGTCCAACAGCAGTTTCTATATGTGTGCCACAATTGTGGAACCAGTACTGTTTGATATTCGTACTGACATTTGAAACACAATATTACTGAATGTGATTTTAAACTGATAATATTGTACAGTGCATTGACAAATGAGCAGTGCTTGTATAAACACATTTCAATAATAATAATAATAATATGCGTTTGACGCATAAATGTCACAGAAAATATGGGTTGGCAGGTCATTCATTGATTTTTTGTTGGCGATCGCGATCTAGATTGTGTGCCGCCGCCAAGTTAGTAATTCCATAATTAACCTTCCATGGTAATTCATACGGCCGAATGTAGCAATGAACCACAGCATCTTTTCTACCTCCATGACCACTGTAAAGTCAAAAGAAAACAACGGACGACAAGAACTGTCAATCATTTTGCATACAAATGGTAAAGGTCATGTATCTTCACTGTCTCCCGTTGTTTTGTCGTCGAATTTATTTCGCTACAGATAGAACTCACCTTGAAACTGTTGTCGACAAAGTACGAGTAAGAGCACATTTTCAACACCGCCAACGCTCGACATATTTCCAATGTCGTCTTGGTTTTGAATGAATTCTCTGTATCACTGAAGTTCAGCTTGGGTCCAGCATTCGAATTATCATTCGCAGTTTGTTCAATGGAGTCTGAATTCTGGATGTTTGGGTCAATTCCGACAGCGGCCGATGTCGCCAGTGGTCTTGGACCGTGATGGTTGTGTCGGCGCCGTTGGCCATCGGTACGACGACGACGAAAGCTTTGTGTTATCAATCCGTTTCGTCCGTGAATATGAGCTTGACACAGACGAGTGCACAATGGAACAACATATCGGCCGCTCATGTTTAAACACTTGCGAGTAATCAACGAGTTATTTTATGTACACTCACATCTGCTGACCAGTATGATGCCACATCACGTTTTGTGACGCGCAACATCAGATATCGTAAACAAATGTGCCTCGTCTCTGACCTTTGCACGTATGCAAATACATGCTTTCTATTACGTTATTCGACGTCGTCGTTTGGTGGCGGCTGTTACGAACGATTCAAAAATATGGGGGTTGGTTGTTTGTAGGTCTGCCTGAAGAATACAAATAAAACCCAATCTGCCGTTATATGACAGAAAAAACACTATAATTCTATTGAAAATACACACACATTTGACACAGAAAAGCAACAACAACTGCAGCAGCATCCTGACAAAAGCAAACCGTTTTCACCCGTTTATCTGCTATTCAATTGGCTTCTGCAACACGAAAACATAGGGCCGCAAAACCTTCACCCGTCTTTGATATCATGATAAATGAGCTTGTGCAAGAAATCGACAAGGTCGGACTGACTTTCATATGACAGAACTAAGGTGGTGTAAGTCACATCGCAAAGCATCATGGGAACAAAAAGCGTGATACACGCAAAGCAGGAAGTAAACCGGAAGTGACGTTTTGACCCACACCACCTTGACAGAACTGTTCATGTTCGTTGCGTATTCACCACGGCACAGTCACTCTGACTGTGACCACGGAATGTGATTTTACCCAGAAACAGCAGTAAGTGCAAGTGGTTTCAATCACGTTGAAGGAAAAATCACAGATATTGTAATAAGTGTATTGATATAGAGGGTTATTCATTTATTTAGTGCAACCAAGAGGTCATTACCAAACGCTTCAGCTTGGTATTATTACCAAACGCTTCAGCGTGGTATTAAGAGTTTGTTTTCAGGAGTGGGTGATACCAAGGTGGGAAATGGATGCACATATGGGGTTAATTCCTTGAATTGCAATATAGAGAGTTCAGGCTGAAATACAATAAATAATGTTTTCATGTTTCGTCTCATATTTCTGTGGTATTCTGCTGCTGTAAGTAATGCACAATTTGTTCCGAAATTCAGTGTGCTGTGTGCATTTCAGGGTTATTCGTTTTTTGCTGAAAACACCCCTATTTTTTAATGGCAGGGTCGAATAGTTTCACT